TTTGTATGCGGTACTTGGCGCTCCAAGGATACAGGCACTGCCTTATGCTAACCATAAATTTTCAGCAAAATAAATATTTGTTCAGCCTGTAGTTTTTACATTTTGGCAGCTTTAAATATTCAGTGGTTGGTTTGTAATCTGTTTTGGTTGAAGCAGACAGATTTTCAAGCTGGCAAATATGTTTCCATAAATATGTGTTATTCTGTGTACATCTGAAGTAAAGGTCATGTAAGGAAATTCAGCAACAGTGTCCTCGGCTCTGTGGTCAAATGAACACAGCCTTAGTTGATGAGACACATGCTTCTCTACAGAAACTAGAATGTCTGGCTTAATTTATATAATTGCAGAATGAATTGAAGCTTTATTGGAATTTATATAAAAAATATCCTCAAGACAGAAAAATGTGCTTCATTAGCCACAAAACACTTCAGTTCAGTATCTTCATTTCCTACATTCTTGAAAACAAAAATATCTCAATGGTTTTTGGATGTATTGTTCCTGCAAAAATTTGTAATTGGCATAGAACCTTCACAATATGTGGAGGTTCTGCACAAAAATTTTTCACACTTGCACATCTCGTTTGTAAAAATAGTTCCTTATATTACAGTTTCTCTTACATTTATGTGCTTTTTTGTAACAAAAACAGTCACAATTCATTTTCACATGATCATTTCCGAACTCTCTTTTTCACTAATACAAATTCACACCATCACGTAAGCACAGCAGACGTGGAACACAAGCGACCATGCCTCCAATGCACACTGCCTCCGACTCTGTTGCGTATCTGTTCAGGTGGGAATATCAGATCTTTTTCCTCATTTTCTTTTCTGATTAAACAGATTTGTAAAAAGTTTTAAACGTGAGATCTGTTTCAAATAAAAAAAAACAATACTAACAGTATCCTCCACACACTGTTGGTACAGCACAGGAGCTGCTTGGCATCTACACATGTAAATTAAAAATAGACTCTGCATATAAAAAAATGTGGCAGGTTGGAAGAGCTTGCATTTTGACTGACATAAGAAACACCGATAACAATGGAAGCATATCTGTTCTGTCAGACAGGCAACTTAAAAACCGCTTCAGAAATGCGCCCAGTGTGAATTGACCATTAGAATTGAACAGGCTGTTTTTTGTTACTGTGCCTTTAAGACTGATATATGTAAATGAGCTCTGCTCTGGTTGTCCTGTATTGTGTCTCATTGAAAAAGTAGTCCAGACTAAGACACTCCTTTTAACTTCAGCATGAAAGGGCGGGGCTAAATTGCTGAAATATGTAAATGCATTGGCTGTCATGACATCACAAAAACAAGTGAATGAATTTAAGATGAGCAGCTTATGGGCCTTATGAACTGGGCAGCAGAGACGGAAATTACTTAGTAAGTAATTGCGCAGCATTACTATACTTAAATACTTTACTCGAGTATTATTAAAAAAATATTCAATTACATTTCCTGGTGAAAAAATGTACTACTTACATTTTCATTTGGACCTTTATCGTACTAGTTACACATCTCAAAAATTCTGTCGAGCTCCATTGCTTTTTAATTTTTTTGTTTTTATTTAAACTTCCAACCGAATTCATTTGACTGTACAACAAAACTGCCCACAACTGTCCAAGCTAATTTATCTTGGTGTAAGAATCAGCATAGTCCATTATTGCTGCACCCTACGCCAAACTGATAATGTGGTTAAAGCATTTACTTTTTCTTCTAGATACTTGAATTGTTTAAAATGTTACCTTTTCAAATTTGATGAATACCTACAAACAGTGGTGAACCATTACTATTAATGCACGGCCTTCAGTTCAGGCCATCAATGTCAAAACTCAGTTGACACCTCTATTTTAACTCTAACTTCTACTAGCACCTCTATGGCATTCTAGTAATATGTCAGCGGCAATGCACATCAACATGGACATTTAAAGGTCGTAAAATACACTCTGTGTTTTATTTGAAGCTTGTAACAGACATAATCATGCATTTTACTTTGTAGCAGTTTTACAGTGACTCAGTAAAGAGTCCTGATAAAGAACGGCTGCTGTTTTCTTTTTCTAACAGACCAAAGCCTGGTTAGACTATGGCTCGTATTCGCAGTCAGTGACATATCTAGAACTTCCAGAAGGTCTAGGCCACTGAAAATCAAAACGTGATTGGTTGATTCCTCTGTCAGTTCCTAATTATGTTAGTGGTCAATTTAAAAGGCCTTCTCTTCACCTCCTGAAGTCCTAACCAATGGGAGAGCTCGCTTAGCTATAACTACCTAAATACCACAGAGAAAAAAAATCTGATTGGATAATTTTCTATTTTGTGTTTTAAGAATTTAACCCAAACCAAGCAAAGCTTAGAAATGAAATAAGAGTACTACAGTACTCACAGAGTTTAAATGAGCAGGATTACTCTATTGAATAGAAATAAGCTGTTTTTAAGTTCCTAAAAATCATTAGGCCTTCAATGAGGGCATAAAAAGCCATATCTCAAAAAAGTGAGAAAAGTTATTCAGCTTCCATGATATGTCCATTGAAAAGTCTTCTAAGGATCCAAAAGTGGTTTATCTCTGGCACTCTGCTGATTTTTTAAAAAAAATCAGACAAATTTAATGGTTAAGATGTAAACAAAATCATTGAGTGGTTTGCTGGAATCTTCCATAATTTAGAGTGGTTTGACGAAATGCTCTGTTCCAGAGAAACTCAAAAATTCTGAATTGCTCACAGTGGTGGTGATAGGAGCCATCTGAAGAGTTTAATGCCTATAAAAGCTCCCTCTCAGAAAGTTATCGTATGAAATGGTTATGAACACATTGTCTTACAATCGTTTTGAGATGGTTTTGGCCTAAAACTTTTTTCAAAGTGGATTAGTATGTGCAGGGAGTCATATGACAGAATGGTTCTGAAATGATTTTTTTTTTTTTCATTACTATTTAAAATGATCAACAAAGAACAACTCAGAAAACATAGGTCATCTTGATAGTTCATAAAATGTCTGTGTTTGTGTTGACACCATGACCTCTGGTTCCTATCACCACTACTGTAAAGAAAGTCGGTAACTTTCTCTACAGTTAACCATTTCACATCAACCCACTTTGAATTTGTTCACATTTCAATACTTAAATTATGCAGAAATTCTGAAAAATCGATGGAAACCCGCTTTAAAGGCCCCTTCTTGACCCCTTTTCTTGCAAAAGGTGGACGGAAAAGTACACGCCACTGCCAGCACCATGCTTTCACACTACCAAAGGTCTAGCAGAATGTCTTTTTTAATGAAGAATTAACTGATGCAGCAGGCTCCAACCAACCTGCTAACCTCTGCACTCATGCTCACGCTGAGGCTGCAGTTCCGTCTTCCACCACTGCTCACATGTTGCAGATATTTTGGGGAAAACTTTTAACTCAAATCCCTCACAGATCCCAACACCTTATAAACCCTCGTAGTAATATGTCATACAATCCGAGCGGATAGCCTAATGCTACCGGATAAATCTTAGTCAGCTACAGAGCGGCGCAGTGACAGGGAGAGGGTGCTGGAATGCGACGTGACGTTACTGCGCTGTAAGTGAATTCTGTAGGCCTGTGCCAGAGCTGTTATTAATGGCGTGCGTTTCTGGGCTCCTTAGGTTTATGTTGTGGCTGGTACTTCTCTCCAGAGCCGAGGAGCAAACTCAGTTCAAAAGGGCAGCAGGGAGCAACTGTGTACTCAGTGGAAGCTGCATGTCTGGGCTGGTCTTATGACCGTGTTGCAATTGAACAAACAGAGACAGAAACTGACCAACAGGAAGGAGAAATATTTCTATAAAAGCATGTGCGGACTTCAGTCACATTCAGCACAATATGAGACAATGAGGTTTATTTTAATTTATTTTTTTCATTTTGACAGTCCTATGGGCAACTTAAAGGAGAAGTCCACCAAATATTTTTTCCAAAATTTCTATATAATTCTATTATCGAGATGTAAGTCATTCAGTGATTTTATGTGAAGTGGTTCATTGTAAAGAAACTTACCTAGGCCTACTGACTTCCCTACAGTGGTGGTGATAGGAACCAGGGGTCACAGTGTTTACTTTACAAAACCACCAGCGTGTGTTCTTTAGTTTAAATATGTATTTAAATATGTAAAATAAAAAAGAATAAAGAAAAGAAATCTATTTGCTTTGGGGAATATTGTGCCTGGCACTACTTTGCATCTTGTTCTTTTCATTAAAACATATTTTATTTCAATATTTATCACAAAACTGTCAGGCATCACGCCGTGTGTGCTTCTCAAAACTATTGTAAAACAATGTATCGGACATCAGGCAGTGTATTCATAACCATATCATATAATAACTTTCTGTAAGGGAGGTTTCAGAGCATTCAGACGTCTGGTTCCTATCACCACCATTGTGAACAATTCTGACTCTCAGTTTCTCTAGAACGAAGGGTTTCACATCAAACCACTCTGAACGACTTTGTTTAAGTCTTATGTAGAATTTTGGGTGGAATTCCCCTGTAAATATCACAAAATCAACTGTATTGAGAAAAAGAGTCATCTTGTAGTCGTTTATCTGCTACAGAATGAATGTCCACATATCCCTCAGATTTAGGGTCATTCTGTTTGTGTGGCAAGTTTGCAAAAAAGAATGCACAAGATGTTACATCATAGCTCCCTCTGATCCACTGGAGTAAAGATGTTGTCAATTAGTCGTAAATCAAGCCGCAACCCAGGGTCAAAGTTCAGCGCACTCGTAAGCCAAAGTTCACGCCAGCCAATAACTCTCCTAGACTCAGATCAGAGCGAGGCCATAAAATGCGGAAAGCAAAACTGAACATGTGCTGAAAAAAAGTGCCACAGCAACTTGTTTACCGCTGATAACATTTTAGAAGTTTGTGTTGCTTTAAAAAAAAAATTATTGACTTTCATTAAATTAAGTCACACAGTCAGTATGATGTTTTATGTGTTCTGGGTGACATTAATATCATTAGCATACTGTTTACATTCATGTTGAATTTCTTAGTTTGCATTTAGTAGATTTGGGATAAACTTTATTTCCAAGTGGTGAAGATAGATTCTGTATTAATTTACATACAACATCATGAACATGAATACACAGTCCAGCCAGAGATGAACAACATCAAGGAGAGTAGAACACATTCAGGTAAGTTACTGCTCTTGTTTATTTTTTTCCAGTGTGAACTCATCTGGAGGACTAGAACATTCTGCGACATCTTCAGTCAAAATAGATGATTTTAGAACAACCTGGCTTTGCTTGCTCAATAAAAGTCCTTAGGCGAAGAGCCATTTGTGGATGTTCTACCAAACATGGTAGCTCATAAATCACGGAGAAATAGCTGGAAAATAGTTGTGAATTCATTGTTTTGAAAAAATAAGTACAAAACATCTTGTGATAATTATGAAAATGTTGAGACTGAGAAATTTAAAGCATCAAATTTGAAATTTCTTGAAAAAAACCTCATGGTGAACCTTGAAGTACGTTTAAGACAAGGGAAAACTGAAAAACTGAAGCTCTCATTTTTTTTTTACCAAAATCGACAATCCGAACATGTTTACATTGAAATTAAAACATAAAATACAACCATAGAATACAAATACTTTAATCTGAATAAAATAAGAAAACACCTCTAAGAAACACACCACATTTAAGAAATAAATAACTCGTAAAAGAGAAGAAGGATCGTCATCGAATGTCGCGCGTGTTACTCGCACGGTGTCCAGGCTGAGCTAATTAATTACCTTTTCTAGAAATCTTCCCGCTACAGTGAATGAAGGACGACCCTTCAAGAGATTATTCTAACAGGTCCTTCTAGTGCTCCCTAGACTCTACTTAAAGTCAGAAGAAGTCTAAATGGATCCTTCTGGAATAGCCGTATATCTACACCCAAGTTGCTTGTCATGAACGCTAAGACAAGGCTGAGCAGACTGTGCCACTCGGGCCATCAGTTACTTTGACAGCACGTCTGCGGCTAAAACGCTAACTAAGAAAAAGCACTCTCTTTCGTCATTGAGTAATGTTTTCATAACTGTACAAATTAAAAAAAAAATCCCTTCCTTCAGTATATATAACCGACAACCACAGAACTGTATTTTTCATCGTAAAAAAAATAATAAAAACAGATTCATTAGCATTAGCACATTAGCATACCAATGCTATAAGTTAGGTAGTTGTGTTAAACAAAAAAATATTGCAGCAGACCTCTTTTGCAGTTGTGTATTGTAACAAAAAAAATTAATTTGCATCAGAAACGAAATCCTGAGCGCTATTTGTTCTAATTGTCAACGGATATTACTAGTCAATGTTGCATTTTTGGGGGTTTTTTTGGTTGCTTTTTTTTTGTTTTTTTTTTTTTACTACAATTGAACCCTAATTTGCCCAAGTCAAAGTAGTACCATTTACTTCGTGATGCATTTGACGCACCAAAATTTTGATTTGACACCAATCTACAGCAACTTGTAAGAACTCATGCACAAAAAAAACAAAAACAAGCTATTCCTTTCATTTACCCTGTATTAAACCAACACAATTCAATAAGAGCTTTCTTAGTGGAAGGGTGTGCAGACTAGTGATCGACAGCCTCACTGCAAACGAAGATATGCTTGTAAAAGGAGACTTAAAACAAGGAGCAGGTCCTACTCTAACAGACATTACCTTTATTTTGACAAATATAAGCATTCATTTAACAACCGCGTCATAAATACATTTATTTTCAATGGGGAGGGAGGTTTTTTCCAGTTTTCGATCAAACATTTCGGATTTTTTTTCTCCTGTTCATCTCATCTCAGTCCAATCAACCTTCTCTTTCCAGGTGGGAAATCCATTAGCGGTAATATGTACACATGAAAGATGGTATTTTGATCCATGTACTCCTCATAGTGCAGCATGTGCTCTGTATGTCAGGGCCCAAGGCGGGACTCAATCTCTCGAGATTCCTCCTCTGCCGGCACTCATAGTCTCCATCGGAAACATCCAGAAAGTATTCCGTGGATGAATGGGAAAAACGAACTGGAGTAGTAGCATTCGCACAAACTCTCCACGGCTGAAGAAATTACATGAGCATGGACCGAAAAACGGAGGACGGCTCCGGAAAGAGGCAGCTGTTTGAAGGACAACGCCAGGGAACATCCGTTCAGCCGGAGGCGGGTTCTGTCCCATGAAAGCGAGCGTCAGGCCAAGGCCATGGGGCACCAAGTGTCCCCTCGTACGGAAGCTGCCACGTCGGCAGTGGACGTTAGTCCCACGTTTGTGTACAGCCCCTCCTGGCCGGGGTACTTCACTATGGAGCCTGTGGTACCTGGGACCTCTACCTGACCCACCATAGTGGAGGAGTTCACCTGGAACAAAACATGGAATATTAACAGTGATTATTACCTCTGAATATGATGATATGACTAAACAGACATGTATATAATTTGCATTTTTCTACAGATTCTACAAATAATGTTGGGCTTTCTTGAGGAGAGGTTTGGAAATGGTTATACGAATATATTAACATACATAAAATTACTACTTACTGTATTTCTATTATTTGTTTTCATTCTAATATTTGTGTTTTCCATAGCAAATCAACATGTACCACCAAGATAAATGCCATTTTGATATAATTTTCTGTGTTGTTGCACAGTACAGAATATAAACTCACATAAGGAAATATATTTTCATATTTTGTTTGTATACATGTTAGTTTGCATATGTTATATATGCTTGACATATATATATATATATATATATATAATATATATATATATAATATAAATTGACATTAAAATATAAAACAACACTTCCATATATTTCATCTACATATGTGCATAAATTGGCCTTTATTGAAATAAAAAAATGACACAGTCAAATATATTGTAAATCATTACATATATTGCACATATATTTTATATGTACATATATTCCTGTTCCATAACAGTAAAAAATAACAGTGTTGAGCTACTTTCCAAAATAAAAGTTTTACATCATTTGAACAATAAATCAAGCATGTTTTCTGAGATGACTGTCTCACATGACCCAATCAGAGGTGTGTAGAATTACCTTCATCATGCTCAAGTAAAAGTCATGACTCAAATAAAAGCAAATTCAAAGTCCTCAGTGCTGAATTACAGTGTTCATTCATGTCCATCAGGACTTAGTTCATCATCTTTTAGGGTTTGGCTGTGTAGTAGTAAAGGCTAAAACTGGAAACAGTCTAGAACAGAAAGAACTTAAACCCAAAAAAGGAATAAAGAACTAAATGTGAAGAACTGAAATGGAACCGAGGAAAAATGTGGATTCCTTAACTTACAAATATACTAGTAGTGAAAGTGATACTAAAATATCTGTCAACTGAAAATGCAGCACAATTCCTAATAGTAAAAAATAGGTAACTAACTTGAAGAGGAATTCCTCCAGTTTTCCAAAATTTCAGCATGATTAAATGGTTAACATATAAGCATTCATTCAGAGTGGTTTGAAGTGAAAAGCCATTGTAAAGAAATCAGTTTCTCTGAAATGGAGCCTTTATCGTCGAACCACTCCGACTGAATTTTGCAGGAATTTTGAAAAAATCTGTGAAATCCCCCTGCTTGGTGAGCTACTGGTACAAGAAAGACTAAACATATTTTGTCCAACAGACCCATTTTAACATATGCTCTTAGCAAAAATGGTTCCATATAGTGCCAATTAAAGGTTCTACTACATATAACCATTTTTTAAAGAACCCTTGAAGAACCCTTGCTTCATGGTGTATAGAATTTCATTTCTTTATATGTTGTATGAACTTACCGAGGTCACAGACACCTGTGCGGATGGAGGACTGTTCTTTGAGCTCTCCTCCGAGGTGGAGGATGAGGAGGATGAGGATGATGATGATGTTGGAGTCATGGGCACAGAGCTACTTCCTGTGGACCAACAAACAAACAAATAAATAAATATATAAATAAATAAGAGTGCTTAACTGACTAGCCTATAAACATTCAAGCTAAGACAAAAACTTGATCTAATTTTAAAAAAAGTAATTATCCTTAAAGGGGAAAATTTCTGCATAACAAAATGGTTCAGATGTAAACAAAGTCATTCAGAGTGGTTTGGTGTGAAATGCTCTGCTATAGAGAAACTCGCAGAATCAGAATTGTAAACAGTGGTGGTGATGGGAACCAGACGTCTGAAAAGTTTAATGCCTCTAAAAGCTCCCTCACAGAAAGTCATTACATGAAATGGTTATGAAAATATTGCATGATGTCTGAGATCCTGTTTTACGATAGTTTTGAGACGTTTTTGGCCTAAAATGTATTTTTTTAAAGTATTCATGGTGAAGAGGTACTTGCGCGGAGAGGCACTTGTTGTGAAGCAAAAGAAAATGAAAACCCATTTTTCTTTTTTTGGATTTACTACTATTTTATCATCAACAACATCACATATAAAACTTGTGTAGGTTCACTGGTGGTTTTGGATGGTAAATAAAATGTCTATATTTGTGCTGTAGACACTGCGACCCCTGGTTCCTATCACCACCACTGTCTATAAATTTCTTCATAATTAACCATTTTACATGAAACCACTCTGATTGGCTTTGCTTACATTGAATTGTGGATAAATGTTGAAAACCTGCAGAATTTTGATTTAATTGAACTTCTAATAGTAAGTTAACAGAGAAAAAATCGGTCTTACATTCTGTTCACTTGTTATTAACTGACATGTTCAAGGCAGGCAACTTTTAAAGCTAAAACATCATTTTTTCTATTTTTTTTAGTGTGGCATAAATAGCAATAAACAGAATTGATTAATTACTTATTTAAACTGCTATTTCTCAAAACAAACCTGATGATCCCTTTGTTTTGTTCAAGGTTTTGGGTTTCCTCTTCCTTGTCTGAATCCCTTCTTTCTTCATAGCCAAAGGTCTGGGCACCTGGTGGAACACCACAGGAGTAAATTAAACTCATCTCTCGCTCACTGTAACAGCCCCTCAGAGCCCCCCAGCATACACTCTTAAAAATAGCAGTTCTATATAGTGGCAGAAAAGGGTCATTTGGCTTTAACAACACTTTTTAGTGCTATACAGAACTAATTTTAGCCATATAAAGCAATTTCATCATAGAGAAGAACCATTTAACCATTCAGTAACACTTTACTGAAGGCCAGCATTTTTAAGGCCATATAACACCTACATAAACCCACCAGGACGACTGACATAAACAGACATAGACGTTTATAAAGGCTTATTACAACAACACCTGCTAAGGGTTAAAAGACACCAAAACTGACAAAAACAACCTTTAAAGCTGATGCTTATTGGAATAAGCCCTTCATAAACGTTTATGCAGGTTCAAGTCAGCTGAAAATCGTGTATACAGAGCCGTGTGCAAAAGTTTGGGCACCCCTGCTCAAATGACATGTTTTGTTGACAATGAAAAAAGTCCACAGGCTCAACAGAGAAATGCACATTTTAATACACGTGTACTGTTTAGTCTGTGGAGGGGGGTGGGGGTTATAAAATGTGGCCTGTGCAAAAGTTATGGCACCTTTTCCCTTTCCTCCAATAGGTTCAACTCGGTAAATAACAGAAATTGCGCAATAATTGCATACATATTATTGCAGTTCTCCGCAGAAGATGTATTGACTTATTTTCACTTAAATCAACAGAGTATGTCTTTTGACCAGACTTTTGCACGCGACTGTGGCCTTCAGTGCCATTCCTAGCAAACATCCAGATGAGCTGTCATGGTTCTGCATATAGGCCTAGCTATTGCCTTTAAAGAACCGCTGTAGCTCAGGTGTGACGTTTCTGAGCTGAACAGGTGAGTGAGCACGCGCCTTACCCCGTGCAGTTTGGTGTAGAGCCCGCACGCGTTGCACACCGGCTCGCCCTCCGCGTTCCTGCGCCACAGCGTCGTCGTGCTCGTCTGACAGTTCGCGCACGAGAGGCCCAAACGGCGGGAAGAGGCCTGCACAAAAATAAATAAATAAATAAGTTAGTTTACACCCCACTCATTTTTACAATATAGTTTGTTTTTTTGTGTGTGTGTTTTATTTGCTTTTTTAAACAATGCGTCCCTTTGGTTAATTTAGTATTTTGGTTAAATTAACGTGCTGACGTAATACGTAATCAGCGTGAGCCCGTCATACGAGCGCACGTGAAGGCGCTGAGCACTGCTACGCTTTAAAAGAGGTTCAGGCTTTAACTTGAATGTTCTAAATATGAGTTTACTGAATAAATGCGTGGTTGTTTTCGCGGTGAACTCAGTAAACAGGCGGTGTTGGAACTGTAGAGCTGAGCTAACATTAAGTGGCACCAGTGCGAACCCAGACGCTGGTTGACCTGACCTGCTGAGCGGACTGGACAGAAGAAGAGAAGCCCGAGCAGAGCACGAGCACGATGTCCATTCAACAGCGTAAACTAATGAGCGCACATTCAAACCTGTGACCTTTAAACTGAGGGTTTTACAGAACAGGACTCTCAGTGTGGCCAGTATTAATGAGCACAGGTCAAACATTAGAGAGAGGGGTGAGGATAAAACATTAAGCCCTTTATTATTAAAGCAGTTCGTCCTCATATAAAGTCTATTATGATCTCAGTGCAAAAAATATTGAGACTTTTTGCGGTTGCGTCACTATTTTGTGTACTGCAATTCACATCCATCATAATATCTGGGTTTGTGTTGATGTGACTTAATATTAAACGTGTATGAAGTAAAATGGTCTAAAATCTTAATATATATATATATATATATATCTATATATATATATATATATATATATATATGTATATATACATATTATGGCTAAAATATACATGTATTACGTATCTTAGGACTTCTATTTTGTTTTCTATTTATTTATATATAATTATGTTCATGACAAATTATATTGTCAACAATTGACAAACATTCGTCACTCGATAACTGGAGTGAAATTACACTCGTTAACATTTTACCATGAATTTCTGAGTTTCTTTGCTTCACTATGTCCCCCTTTATCTTCAATGACCGTGTGCACTACAGCTGGACTCTATAAGTTTGTGTCAAAGCCTTTTACGTGTATGTCAAATTCACCTGTCAGTCGTCTGAACACGAGCTTTAATGGAAGCGGTCAGACTGCATCAAAATCTACATACTGCACAACACTACACTGTATTGAAGGTTTGAACACTCCTGGTCAATAACATGTTGATTTCCTCTGAGAAAATAAGGTGGAAAATCCTCTACAGAGAACAGACTTAAATATGACACCTTTCTGCAAATTTTAGTGCGCAATTTCTGTTCACTTGCTGAGTTTAAAAAGCATAAAATTTGAAATGTGTCATAACTTTTTTTTCTTATTTTCCCCAATAAGTTAAATTCAGCAAATAAACAGTAGCTGTGCATTTAAATGTGCAGTAAAATGTGTAACTTATTTTCATTTAGAAAATGAACTAAACTGTGTCATTTTATCGGAAACATGTGATTTGCACTCTTGCATAGGACTGTGCGCAAAAGCCTAGACGTGGTCAATGTCGCAAATCTGCGCACATTTGTATAGTGACCTAGAAATGTTGAGTGTTTCTTGTTTATTTTCGTTCAAAGGTTTTGAATCAATGTTTTCAATTACATTCAGCTATTTGTTTAAAATTATTACTGTATGAAGCCACTGATCTACAACCTTGTTTCAACTAAGTAGCAGGAAATACTGAGTAAAGGTTAGCAGTGTCCAGGATGATGACCAGAGCTGTAGACGGTTGTGTGATAACTGAGAAAGCTGGAGAATATTTAGAATGAAGTTTAATATTCAGAATGTCTCAAGTTTAAAGGCAGAATCTGCAGGAATTATTAGGAATTGCGAGAGATTATTTTGCATTTAATCATTTAAAGAATAAATGAAATATTGAGTAAAACATATGAAACCTGCCTAGGTTACAATATTTTAGTCTATTTTAGTATATATATACGCCTTACAAATTATATTACGCACATGCATATTAGGACACAATAAATAGTCCATGTAATTATAGGTTATATAAGCCTATTAGTCTCGTGTTGGTCCGTGCCATCGCCTGACCAATAAAACTGTCCTTTATTGAGGGGAGTCAAGTGTGAAGAGAAGCTGCGTGCGTTATGCGCAGTGTTTTGGGTGGTGGGGGGGGCGGGGGTGTCTGAGCTCACCATGCGCTTCTGCGGTTTGATTAATGGCCGGCTCAGCCCGTTCATCTTGCTGTAGAGGCCGCAGGCGTTGCAGAGAAAGTGTCCGGTTCCGTCGCGCCTCCACAGCGGCGTGGACACGGAGCCGCAGTTCACGCACTCGCGTGCCTCCAGCACATCCTCCAACAGATCTGCAACACACGAACACATCAGTACACGAACACTGACATCTGACAGACTCGTTATTATTAAAACCGAGCTGCTGTTTAAATTAATATTGGTAATGATAAACAGCCCGAGCGTCGCGTCTCTCGTTGAAAATATAGCGTGCGCTCATAAATGGGTGCTGTATTTTTTATTTTTATTTGTATTTTTTGCTTTAAAATGTCTGCTTATAAAATAAAATCTAAGTTTAAATTAGTTTTCACACTGCAGCACCTGACTAACGCCTGATTTAAAATTTCTGAACTTTTTTCAAAATTAATTTTTGCTCAGAAAACGAGCGTTAATTAAATTTCATACTTTTTCTGCAAGAAAAATTGGACCTTAAATGTAAATTCTTTCGCTGGGAGATCAATCAGCCTGTTGGCTGTGAAGCTTACCTAATTGGCTCAAATGAAATCGGACGTGATTAATAGCGCAAGCGTGAATACGGGGCTTCACTTACGGCGCTGTTTAGCGTATAAACGTCAGTAATCTGGCTGCGCTGAAAATGCATTGAAACTCCGGTATTAATGTAACTCATAATAAGTGACAGACGCTGGATCTGAGATACACAGAGGGGGATCCACAAAGGGGGAAAGTGATGGGAACAATCTGTTTTTACACTGCTGTAGCTACTGAATTTATTTCAGGACTGAGCTTGGGGTTAGGTGAAGAGCAGAAGGCATGAAAAGGCAGTTGCACTGACACCACCCAACTCCTTATTTTCCCCTACTAAAATGCACATTCTGGAAAGTTCTATGCTTACTGAAATTCCTACTTAAATCAATAGAAAATTCTCTAAGAATATTGTAAAATTAATCTACCTACATTTTATATTTTACAGACAAAATCAACAGGCCGAACTGGCCTAAAAGTGTACCTCCAGGTCCTGGTCGGATTGAGAGCGGTGCTCCTCTGGTCTGCAAAGAATGAAGCATGGAGTTATCAAACGGTGCAGCCGGCCAGGCCGGGGACAGCTGCGGCAGCTGTGGCCCCACATAAGGAGGGTATGGACTGGCGTAGGATCCACTAATGGGCCGGGACAGGTACTGGTCCCTGCTGTTGGCGTTCAGCGGGTTTGAGTAACTGGAGTCCCTTGATGTGCTGTTGTTCATGGGTGGGCTCGGGGAGTAGTGAAAGCGGCTGGAGGTGTGGGGGCTACCTGCGCTGTACGACGGGCTTTCAGGAGTAGACTGCGACCATACCGGGTGACTGCTGACCCCATGGCTGGGCTGCGTTGACACGCTAGGCTGCAGATAAGGCAGGCTTGGTATCATGGGCCCTACCCGAGAAGTGGGCACATACACAGGAGAGTTGGGGCTGGAGTGCATATAACTGGCCGACGGTGACTCATATGCAGCCTGAGTCTGGGCAATGGCCAGGGTCTGGTACATGTCGCTGGGGTCCACAATGAGCCCACTCTTAGGCGCTCCTCCTGAAATGATAAGCTTGTTGCTCTGGTCCAAATCCGTGAAGAGCGCAGTGTCCTCCGAAGTGGGCAAGGCGTTGACCGGATGTCCGAAGTGGCTGTAGGAGTGCAGCGGCCTGCCCTCAGGGCGCCTGGATGCACCAAGGGACGGTGCCGGCACGCATGACCTCAGCTCACCGGATGCGTGCCGGTCTCTCCTGTCCCCAGGTATGTAGCTCTGCTCGGCAGGAGACCCTGGGCTACTGGACACTTCACGCTTGACCATGGACCAGCTGCTGTCACCCAGGTCCATCCAGGATCCCTTTGATATCTCACAGTGTGCAGAAAATGGAGGCGAGGTAAGTCACCCTGCGAATGAATTTCAAAATTTGAAGAATTAAAAAATTTGAAGAATTTGAAAATTTCTTTGTGCTGTTGTTCTTTTGCAAACAGATCACAACAGCATGTTAGCATTTCCAAGAACCTGACATTCCTAAGAAGAAGAGCTTGACAAAAAAATTCCCCAGCAGTTGTCATTCCCAAGACTGACAAAAAAAACAACTTTTATTTACTTATTATTGTCAAATTTGAAAATTTGTGAAAACTGAAAAATGAAAAAGTTTCACTTTACATTCTTTAAAATGACTCAAAATCTCATTATTTTGCAAGAGATTGGAATTATGGCCACACCAGAACCTAATTAAAAAAAAAAACTTTATCACATAAAATCTAAAACTTTTTTTTTTTCAATTCAAGACCACAAAAAAGTCAGACGAAGGAATGATAGCTAAGCAAAACGGCACCACATTCCACAGAAGGATCTACAGTGAAGAACTAAAGAACCTGAATCCTCCCTCTGCCTGTAGCCTCATCATAATTACCCCCCCAAAAAACTCCTCGCGGCGTAACAAATAGGAAACAAAACGCAATATGTCTTTCCAACAAGGAGATAACCGCTAGATAAGACCCTCAGTAAGATAAGAGCAGAGCGTTACCCAACCGAGCTCAGGCTGGAGACTCCGGCAACCGAAACAAACTTATGACGAAAGTATTTTTGGAAGAAATAAACTTAAAAACCGAATATTTCAGAAGAAAAAACTCCCCCCGCTGCAGACTGACCTTACTGGTTGCTTGCCATGAGCCGCTGTTCGCAGTGTCCGGCGGTCATGTCGTGACGAGACTCGAAGAAAAATTTGGACTGGAAGCTTTTAGTTGGACTCTCATCTGGACGTTTAAGTGAGGGCGGGGCCTGGGGAGACGGCCGCTCCGATTGGGCGCGGCCTCATGAAACCGGCGCTCTGACCCGGCCTCTATTTGATCAAGCACTTCTAAGCGGGAGGCGTTGTTATTATTTCTCCCACCCGCATTCCGACGTGCCACGCCTACTGCGCTGGGATTGGCTGTCCGCCGTTTAACCACCGGAGGGCGGGGCTTAACTGCATATGCTGAGAGTTCTAGAACGTGTTCAGTGTTCTGGCAGGGTGAGTTATGAACTCCTAGCCAATCCCAGCGTGGAAGGCGGGACACTCAGCCAATGGGCGAATACGGGTGGGGAAAACACAGAAGCGCGACAGAAGCGTCGACACTGGCTTCAGTTTTAAACGGTGCAAACTTTATACTCGCTTTTCTTTTGGAAGCCTCGCGTTCTGTATTTAATATTTGGAGATATTGTACAAATAATGAATGTTAAAGGATATTTTACATGACAGATATATGAAAGCAAAACCGCTTCGTCCACTAATATATTTGAATGGCAACGTAAACTCAGCCTACACTTGAAAAAAGATGGTTCTTCGAGGGTTCTTTAGTAAAGGGGATTGTTCTATTTAGTACGACGATTTCTATATAGAACCATTTCATGCTTAAATGGTTCTTTGCACGGTGAATCTTCAGATTCAAGGAGAATGTGTTGTATATGATTCCATATAGAACCATAAAGGGTTCTTCTGTCGTTACAAGCTTGACATTATCACAATAGAAGAACCCCTTTTGGTGCTACACAGAACCATTTTCAAAAAAGTTCTATATAGAACCATAAACAACACATTCTCCATCAATCTGAAGAACGATTTCACCTTGTAAAGAACCATTTAAGCATGAAATTGTTCTGTATAGAACTCCTGGTTCTAAATAGAACCACTGTCTTTAATCAAGAACCATTGAAGAACCACTTTTTTGAGTGTGTATCAGTTTACGATTCAAAATGAGAAACGTGGGTTCTAGAACTCGTGGTTTTAAATAGAACCATTGTGTTTACCAAAGAACCCTTGAAGAACCATCTTTTTTTAAAACGTGGATCAGTTTACTATTTAAAATGAGGAACATGGGTTCTATATAGAACTCTAAGTTCTAAATAGAACCTCTGTCTTTACTAAAGAACCCTTAAAGACCCATTTTTGAGTGTGTTTGAGTCATTTTACTCTTTAAAATGAGAAACGGGGGTTCTGTATAGAACTCGTGGTTCTGAATATATCTCCTTACTAAAGAACCCTTGAAGAACCCATTTTTGAGTCTGTATTATCTCACCATTTAAGATGACTATTGTCATATTATTGTTCTATATAGAACTCGTGAACACTCTCTTTACTAAAAACCTTGAAGAACCACTTTTTTAAAGCATCTATCAGTTTAGTTTTTTTAAAATGAGAAACGTGGGTTCTAAATAGAACCACTGTCTTTACTGAAGAACCTTAAAAGAACCGTATTTTCTGAGTATCAGTGTACTATTTAACATGAGAAATGTGGGTTCTATATAGAACCTACAGTGAGAAACGTTCATACTGCGTGTTTTACCTCCTGTACATTTAAATAATTGAAAAAAAATAAAACTACAAAAATATAAACAATACAAGTTCGATGTTGAGCTTTATTCAGAGCCCTGATGTCTGATGTCTCTGCCTGTCTGATGTCCGTAATAACAACTGAATTAACAGTGTGATCTGGCAGAGAGTCACTCCAGCCTCAGCCCGGGCGTTAAAGGTTAAGGCAGCCTGAGGAGCGCTGGTCAGAGGCGGTGATTCAGTGATGGAATCACTCGGGCTTGTTTTCGTTTCCACGCTCAGTGTTGTGCAAATGAGCAGCGCTGATAATGAGCTTATCTGCGCCGATGGGGCAGCAGTTAGCGGAGTGAGGCACTGAGCACAAACTCTCAGCGGGCCGCGGCTCTGACTCGGCTTTGAACAGGCGATAATTCATTCAGTTGGAATATACATTGTTTTGTGGATTGATCAGAAAGCGTGCAGGGTGTGATTGGATTAATGATTCTCCACTCAGTCACCTCGAGCCTGTGATCTTTAGACATTTACTCCAGCGCGAGCGTCCCCTGAGTAACACGGCGTCCGAGAGCCGCTGTTTTCTCATCATATGTAAAAATAAAAACACCGCCCTCCAGATCTCGCCTGTGTCTCAGTGATGCTGCCAGTGCAGTCAGGCGTCCTCTACACTCCGTAGGCCTGAGTGGACGGAGCTCTGCGGCTCCAGCGCGGTCAGTGAAACCCGCCTGTGTGTAATCTGTGGGTCTTAAAGCGTCTCTCTGACTCTCCAGTGTGAATCCATCATCCGGCGTCAGTCTGCTGTCACGCCGAGCGGCCGTTATCTTCACACGAAGCAGAGCCTCTCCGAGCAGAGCTGCAGGAACAGAGAACAGATGAGCTGAGGAGCTGATCAGAGCTCAGTTCAGCAGAGAATCCGCCTGAACATCAGAGGAAAGCAGGCCTACTCACAGCAACGCACTGGAAGAGCTTTATTAGACTAATATATATAAAACACACACAGACACACACACACACACACACACACACACACACACACACACACACACATACACACACATATCATTAGAAACTGAATTGTAAAGGTTAAAAACACTATAAAGCCACATTTAGCTTAGCTTATTTCTAATGTGGCCAATCAATGTAATAATAATATAATAATAATATAATGATAATTGTTATAATAATCATCATTATTATTACCATTATTACTATTATTGTTATTATTATTATTGAAATGAATTATTATTCTTTAGTATAATACTAATAGAATAACTAAATAATAATTAAAATAACTAATAACTACTTTTTTGTATAATAAATAATGATTCAGTAAGAATCAGTATTTTATTAGCTTTCTATTGTTTATGATCATGTTTTTTTTATTATTAACATAAATTATTTATTATAATTATGAATATTCAAGAGAATAACAATAGAATCATAATTATTTGAATATTGTTATTCCGTATGTAATAATAATAATAATAATAATAATAATAATAATAACAACTAATGAAATTCATTCTTAAAAAGAATAAATATAAATTAATATACTAATGAAAAATACTAAACATTACTCATCATTTTCAATAGAATGACAGTAGAATAATGATTATTTCTTTGATGATAACAGTAAGTAGTTCGTAGTGTTGTTATTGGTGTCTTGGATTCTTGAAGCGTAATTCATTAATAAAGTAGACAAACTTTTCAAAAAACACTTTATATGAAGAAAAAAATAATAAATCACCTCTATTATCTTTACATTCATATCAGTAATATTAATAAGCGACACAGTGAACTCACGGAATAAAATAAACTCACTGATAAAATAAGAAAATAAAATGAAATGAATTATAGTCGCAGATAAACTCGCTATCAAACGAAATCACGAGTCGCGGTGACGTCACAGGCGCTCTCAGCACGCCCGGCCTTCATTAATGAGTGATTTAAGGGCGAAAGCAGAAGAATTAAATTAAAATCAAACAGCTGCGCGCGCCTGCGTTGCTCCCCAGCAGAGTGCTGGACTTCAGCCTCATCAGAGCTCGAGCTCTTCGAACTGGAGCCTCTTTAAACGTCAGTGTGGATATTTATTTGAAGCTCCTCGGTCAGTGCGGACGCTCAGTGGAGCGCTGTGGTCAGTCTGAGTGGACACACAGCCGCTCAGCTCTGCCGGAGGCCCGACTGTGAGTTTGGAAGCTGGAAGTTTTCGCTCGCTCAGTGGAACTTTGGCCTTGAAGCGCGCGAGGAGCCAACGGCGCGAGGGCCGGTGATCAAAACGCGCACCGAGACCGGAGCAGAGCTGCTGCAGAGAGAGAGAGACACATTCACAATGACAATGACACTGAATCACACAGTCACAGTGCATTAACAACGAGATTACTGAGATTTATTTATTTATTTATTTATTTATTTATTTACACTTTGGTTTTATGGTTAATATTACAATGGTGGATATAAAATATACACACTGAAAAAAAGGGGGCTTAAAGCTGGCTTTAAATTTCAATTTGCATACTGGCTCAACATGAAATAAATAAGTTACATATTTATATTTAAACTTTAAGTTGATGTAATGTTTCCCTCGTGCGTTACTGATGTACACATTTGAATCACATGTTTATTTCCTCCCCGTTGAGAGGGAAGTCTCCTCTCAGCCTCTCTGCTGTCCAGTCTGCTGGAAAGTGTTCCAGTTTGTCTGAACAGGGATCAGAGCTGCGTGTCTCTGCTGTTACGGTGAGCTCAGACAGTACGATGCTCTGCCCCTCTAACCGCTCCCGCTCTCTGAGCTCTACCTGCTCCAGACTCGCTAATCAACGAGCCGGACGGTGATTATTAAGCAATCAGACTCATGATGGAGCAGAAGCGCTCTGTCTGTACCGTCAAACAGCCCCGCAGACCCCAATACACATTCAGCACCATAGACAACTACATCATCAACTACACAGCAGCTAGATCTATCTATCTATCTATCTATCTATCTATCTATCTATCTATCTATCTATCTATCTATCTATCTATCTATATGTCTGTCTGTCTGTCTGTCTATCTATCTATCTGTCTGTCTGTCTGTCTGTCTGTCTATCTATTTATCTATCTGTCTGTATGTCTGTATGTCTATCCATCTATCTATATGTCTGTCTGTCTGTCTATCTATCTATCTATCTGTCTGTATGTCTGTCTATCTATCTATATGTCTGTCTATCTATCTATCTATCTATCTATCTATCTATCTGTCTGTATGTCTGCCTTTATATATATCTGTTTGTCTGTCTGTCTGTCTGTCTGTCTGTCTGTCTATCTATCTCTCTCTCTCTCTCTCTCTCTCTCTCTCTCTCTCTCTCTCTGTCTGTCTGTCTGTCTTTCTGTCTATATATCTGTCTGTCTGTCTGTCTATCTATCTATCTACTTTTGTAATTTTGTTTTGCTGAAATATCTGTCTGTCTGCCTGTCTATCTATCTATCTATCTATCTATCT